ATACTACTTAACACAGGCTTCTTGCATACCCTTGATCAAGGTGGTTTTGCCTGAGTTGAAAGTTTTATTTCAACACTTCAAGAGCTATAGATTCCTGATTTGAAAGGTTACCTTTTTTACTCACTCTTAACCCTCGTTCTCTGCCCTACAGCTGTGCTATAAGAGCCGGAAAAACCTCAACTCCGGGGAATATGATGCCCAGAGCTATGTGGCGGAGGGCGTGTCCGGTTCGGGGACCGGTTACCCAGGTGCGTAAGTGCTACTGTACGGTGCAATCTAATGACTGCGTGTGGGTCCTAATCGCAGACTTGTCTCTGATAATTGATAAGGGTTTGGTGTTCGATTTGGTTTGTTTGGTGATTAGCAATGACTAGCATTGCTTTTGCCATTTCAGCGGGACTTCTTGTGCGCGGCGAACGGTGGAAATTTAGTCTTGTCTTCCGGCCAGTTAATACTGATTCTGTGATTTGCAATGGCCGTTTACAGTTTTATGCTCATCTTTTGGTTCCTCATTATTGCCATTGTAGCGATACTGATTCGAGTAAGTTGCCGCCCTAAAACTCTCAAGATCCGTCTTCAATTCATCCATTCTTGTAGGTCTGTTGTCTCTGCGCCAGGCAAAAGGTTCCACAACGTGGTGCTGTACCAGGTCCTGGTCCAAATCCACCTGCAAACCGTCAGCCAGGACGAGTTTTGCAGAGTTTTGTAATCGAACCCGCGGGAGTGAGTTTGAATACAGGTGAGCAGCCAATCGGGGAGTGAGTCAGCCGCGTTTTCCGATAAGGTTATCTATCGGTTCCCTTTCGCTTTGCTTATCGACAGTGTGTTCATTCAGTGTTTGGCTGGGCGACATTTAAAATTAATTTATTTAGATGCTCGGTCGCGTTTCGGGGCCATGTAAATTTTCCATAAAATGGGCGATCAGTATCGTTGGTGCGAGTTCGGTGTCCTGTTGCTCCTCTTCCTTCTACTCCTGTATTTTTCTGTCAGTGTGAGTGTGTCTCCTGTTAGTTTCCATTCGATGGTGGTTCAAAATCCAGTTACTTCCAGAGATGCATAGCTGGGAAGCGAAGGCGCAGGACCAGAACGTTTATTAGTCCGCCCTTGAGCAGATTCAGTGCCTCGTATCCTTCTTCGCCGGGAGTTAGTAGTCGTTTCAGCTGGACAGCAGGTGAGCAGCTCAGGTGTTTGTGTCTCTTTTCTCTAATCTTTAAATTAATTAAAATATTTAGAAATTTATTTGCCAGTCGATTTGATCAGTGATTGTCAGGTAAATGTAGAAATTTATATTAATTTTCACTTTGTTTTTAACGTATGCGTGATGTACATAAGGCGTATACGTAATATTACGTCCTTCGGTTTAGGAAAATATGTTCTTTTTTTTTGAATGAATTAAAAATGGTGTTTAATGATTCTGGAATTTGTTTGTCAGTAATTGTTGGTTTAATTTACATATTTATATTTATTTTTACTGTTTTTTTTACTTATGCGTAATGTACATATGGCGTATAAGTAATATTACGCCTTCCAGTCTAAAAAAAATATTCTCTTCTAATTAAATTCACTACAAATTCTGATTAATGATTCTAAAATTTATTTGTCAGTCCATCTGATCAAATTTGCATTATTTTTACCTTTATTTTCCCTCTATTTTTTACGTATGCTTGATGTACACCTGGCGTATACGTAATATTATCGATCAGGGCTCAATTAGTTATAGATAACGTCAAAAATGTGACAAGCTTTAAAAGCCAGCAAATGAGGAATATAGAACCGATTTATAAAATAAACAATTTTAAGGCCAATTTAATGAAGTAGATCATATTTTTCTAAGTGTACTTTCATTAATTACATTGATGTAATAAAGTACAATCTAATCGAAGGTAGGCAATTGCCAATTAGTCATCACATTGAGGAAATAATTGCGTTGATATCACGATTTCCTTATAATTAATATAGACGATATTGTATATCTTGCAAGTTTATTTCTTATGAATATGGATCTTGTGATATAAGAGCGATTCATTGTGGAAAATTTGTGTCTATAAAATCATAAATCTATAGAAATTTCAATGTAATGGCAGCACTCAAAAAATGGTAAACCTTTAGGTTTATTTCCCTGAAAAAATATAAATCTATTATTTCTAGTATGTGGCGAATAGAAAGCAGCCAAAAAGTAGGCAATACTTTTGGCTGCACTCTTATAGCATTCTTATCTAATATTGATATTGTTTTTCTATTACAAAGCAAACAAACCACAAGTGGCTTTTATTTACACATAACTATTACTTATAAACATATTCTTTAAAAATTATATATCACAAGACCTTAATATATAGTCATTGTGCGTGTCACGTGCCTGCCTATGGCTTTATTCAACTTGCAATTATGCGCATATCTGTCGGATAGAGATACAGTTTCTGCATCTGTATTAGATACAGTATCTCAGAGTGATATTAGAACCACAGAGAGAGAGGGAGCTTGGCGGCTTCGTATCTTATCGGAGACCGTTTGCCGCCCGCTTATCACATGGCCCTTGACACACCTGTTCGCTCCGCTCCCGCAGCTCTGCCTCTCCCACCGCCGATAAGTCTTGGCCAAAAGCTAGCGGTGAGCGATGATGCGACAGTTGGCCTAAGGCCTCTTTATGGAGCGAATATCTTTCTCGGTACTCGCGTATCCACGTGGATCTGCCGGACAGCCGGAAGCACGGATAAATATGTCGCACATCCCGCCCTATCTGGTGTTCTTCTTCCTGGCCTTCGTTTCCTGTGGGATTACCTTCTGCTGCCTGAGATTCTGCATTTGGGTGTGTTTCGAGGCCAGGGGCAGCAGGACGCGGCAGAGGCGCCGACGTAGACATGGTAGGTTAACGCTAACCAAAACAGTCTTCTTTGCGGTCAGCTATCGAGAATCGTACAAATATATATGTATATATATTAGATATTTGGCCAATCAGACTTTTGCCTTGGCCCAGATAAGATTAGTGGAAATTTCGCCCCAGAGAGTGCTCAGTTTTAGCTCGCCACTCAAGTGATTCGATTGTGTTTGCTTTTTAACTGGCGCGGCACAATGGACTACTTCATCATCTACGTGGGGGTATTTTTCATTTTCTTCCTGATTATGCCCTTGGCGTATTTGGCCCTGCAGGTAGAAATTATTTCTGTCGAGAATCGATAATCCTTTGCTTAACAGCCTCTGGTGCTCAATTGGACATTGTTTGAAGCCCAAAAGAATTATATTCCCTTTCAAAATGTTATCTAATTTCGGAACTTTTGTGATGAAATGTATCAAAATTAAGTCTCTACAAGAGCTTTTTAATCGGTGTTTATTTATAGCTAAACAAGGCTTGTTTATGATACATAATTCTGCAAGTATTCTATGTCAATGCATGACAGTAATAATAAATGATAATTACTCAGGAAAAACCCTGAGATAAACACAGTGTGAAGTGATAAACTTCTTGATTAAAAACCAAAGGTGTTAAGCGAGGGCTAATGTACTTTCCATTGCTGCTGCTTTACTTACCCTGTATGTTTACCCCATACAAAGTTCCTACTCTGGATTATATTGAACAAGTGCTGCGGTACGAATCCTCGCGGCGTCTTCGAGGATCCTGGCCGGGCACGACGTCAACGTCAGCGACAGCGACAGCGTCAGCATCGCATTGTGACCATTGGTATGTACGAGGACCTTACATGTATTGATTGATATGCTATTGCTGTGTGTGGCTGGCTGGCTGGCTGGGTTTGATGATCAAGTGCCTTCCATAAATCCATAAAAGCTAACAAACACTCCAGTTTGTTTTGTGGACTCTGGCGATAAGGTGTGCTTTCTGCTGGTGGTGCTGTGCAGATATTGCAAATCAGTTTTCCTTTGAGGGGGTCAGTCTTCTAGAGAGCTTGTTGCAACATGGATGCGGGTCCACTGGTTACCTTCTTCGTTCTACTACTGATTGGCTTCGTGGTCTATGCAGCCCTTCAGGTGATCACACGTACATTCAATACATTCACTCGAATCCTTTGTATCAACCCCAATTGTTGTCTTTTTCCACAAAGTTCGCTGTCATTTGGCTGCTGGGATGCTGCTGCTCGACAGTGCTGCCAATTTGGATTTTTTCCCGTCAAAACTGGCTTTTTTTAAAGGCTAACTGCTGGAAAAATTTGTGAATTGCGGGAATTGTGAAAAGCGGGAATTCTGGCTTTTTTGGAAATTGAATTGGCTTTTTCCCGATTTTTTTTGTGTTGTTAAAACTTAAATACAAAATATGAAAAAGTGGCAGCTAAAAAGTTAGCTTTACAAACAAACCAGATAATGTAGCGACGTATCGTTTGGTTTAATTGATATACGCTAATGTCATAACTCGCTTAGTGTTTCCATCTCTATATAAAAAGTGCGCGTAAATTGTTAGCAAGTTCTAAAATGCCGAAGGAGTATAAACAAAAATGCTGCGATGTCTGGCTTAAAAGTGATGAATTTAAGGCATGGATTCGCAGGGATGACACAGACCTGCAAAGGGTTTATTGCAACTATTGCAAGACTACTATTACAGCTAAACTTAGTGATCTGCGAGCTCACGCTGCAACAAAGAAGCATACTTGTGCAAGCAAAAGATATTCATTTCTATTTATATTCATTTTTATTTTAATATACAGAAACAGATTGCGAAGGGTCGGGAAATGCTGCGTCGACTATGAAGTGCCAATCAAATATCTGCAGATTATAGGAACTATTAGGTCTTACGAAAATAAGGAAGACCATGAAGAAATTGATCAAATTATGGAAATCTTTTGAACAAAAATGAACTTATTAAATTGTTATATTTTTGACATTTTTTCTATTTTTTATACATTTGTTTCAGCCTTTTTTTGGATTTTTTTATAAATTTTTTAAGCTTTTTTTTCACTTCTCCCGTCAAAAACGGCTTTTTTTGTTGGTCAAAAGTTGGCAGCACTGCTGCTCGAATCGTCGCAGCTCCAGGGACTTAAATGTGTGTAAGTTGCACTGCACTCTCTTCACCTGGCTAAAGTAGTAGCTCTAGCGTCATATATATTGTATATCTGATATATGGGAGCAACCTTTATGGGTATGGCCAACCAAACATGGCGTACACAATCTAATCTTGGGCGAATAATCAATTGCGTGCCAAATGGAAAACTATGGGCTATACTAGGACCCAGTAGGCGTCGTTGGTGGCTGTAGTTTAACTTTGAATATCGCCCAAAATGCACGGATCGGAGTCAGCAATGAATTGGGAAAGTGGATGCGGCATTGAGATCGCCATCTACATGGCCCTGGTACTCTTCTTTTTCTGCCTCGTACCCCTGGCCTGCTACTACATACGCGTGGAGAGTAAAACTCTGGGCAAGATTTGCCGGCCGCGATGTCGACGTCGTCAGGAAAATTGCCAGCAGCAACACCCACATCTTCATCATCATCATCATCAGTGGAGGCGATACACCATGGGAATTGGTAACGTGTGCCAAAAGTATAACAAGAAGTGGGCAGGGTGGTGAGCCAGTAGAGCCTATCTAATCGTTTCGGTTAGGTGGTGATTATTTCGGCAAAAAACAGTCTTGGTCCCAGTCGCAGAATGAGTCTAATAGCTAATCTAAGCGTTGCGCTGGGCTTTGTGTTCGCCATATTCGTTGTTGCCCAGCTGATATACGTAATTATCCCTTCGAGAAGGAACCCTGAACGCCGCCGCCATTGATTTTATTTCTATATCTATCCATTTCGATAGCTGGCCAAGCGTTCTTACGACTCAAGGGCTCGGATCCGTCAACAGAGACAAGCTGGTACTGTGTGTGAATTGGGTGAAAAGTCTGAATTTGTCATCGCCAGAGAGCTATCAGCGTGACATTCCCAAAGTCAACTATCTTTACAACCTATCGAAATTGTGTTTTGAGCTAGCTGAATGTGAAGAATTGTGATGATTATTAAAATGCCAAATTTAAATTTGAGTATTTCACAACAAAAAGAAGACTTGTCAAACCTCAGCAAAAGTTTATCATAAAAGAATTGATTTATAAACAACTTTAAAGTGCTTGTTAAAAGTGAAAGAGCTGTAAAATTAGTGAGAATAATGGTGCTATAAATTTGATAAGCCAGATTGAGTTAATTTATAATGAATCTACACATCCTTATACAATGAGTTATATACTTAATATTTAACACTTTTACCAGGATCTGAACTCCATTAAAATATTATAAAAAATACTATAAACAATGTAGAAAGATCCTGCCGTCTTCTATATGCCTCTCCTTCTAAATTTTCCACCCTAAACTAACCCCTTTTCTCCTCGATATCTTCCAGATCGTCAGGGCAATGTCTTCAGCGCAGAGGAGCGGCCAAACAATCGCTATGGCGACATATTCTTCATTGAACCGGGCAGCGATGAGGCCAATCGCATTCGCGATCAGCTGGAGAAGGATGAAAAGGATCTGCCCAGTTACGATGAGGTCATGCGCATGTGCAACCTGACCACACCCACCGCCGCTGCCGCCGCAGGAGCGCCAGTCACAGTGCCGCCACTACAGTCGCCGCTTGGTGATCCGGCTGCTCCTATTAGTATTGCCGCACTTCCAGCTCCTCCATACTCGGAGACAGATCCGCATTCTCCAGTTGCCGGAGCAGCCACAGTGATCACAATGGAGCCCATTGAGCCATCCACATCCCGTGCCGCCCAGATTCCGACCAGTCCTGCCTCTGCGGCAGCTCCTGCTGCGGGTTACCAGAGGCCAGAGACCTCCATCGTCCTGGGAGCGAACGTTACCAGCGTTTGAGGACGAGCGCGGGTGGGAGATATGGAACTAAAGCATTCTGATGCCGTGCCACTCTTCTGGGCCACACAGATGCCAGTTTGTGTGCGCTTTCCCTACAGAAATGAACCTGTGTGATCTTATTGAGTACAGACTTAGTTAAGGGCTAGCGATTAAGTGTGAGAGCTATTGTAAATACATATTTATAGAATCTAGGTTTTCAAATTAAAGTGAGTGACTTATTAGAAATGAATATTTAATTGTGAAATTATTTATGAACGGGTAGTGAAGTGATACCACAAGTAGTTAATTGTATTATTAAAATATGGTATTGCACCTTCAGTCGGCAGCTTAATAGAAAGTGAAGGAGTCATTTCCGACTTTATAAATCATATCTATTCTTGATCAGCATCAACAGCCGAGTCAATCTAGGCATGTTTGGACAAAAAAAATTTTTATCAAAATTTTATAAGGGGTTACATTGTTCAAAAATTGGGAAAATTTTAATTTTTTTAAATTTGTTAGTCTAATAAAAACTAGCATATAACAGCTTTCCGAATTAAAATGTATACATTTTTGGCTTAGTTATGCTCAATTTTCATGGTCCATGTGCAACCTACAAGGAAATAAGTACTTCGATTTGCCCAAAAATATTTAAATATGTAATCTTTTCATTGGTAACCATTATAGATCCTTAAAAACGTCCCTATTATTCACAAGATAAACAGCTTTAAAATTAAATTATTTAAATGAAATACCAAATCCTTGGAAATATATAGAACACACCCCAAAAATCCAAGTCCAACATTTCCACGCACTTAAACTGCATATGTATATTTTTGCTTTAGGCATAGTTTCACAAGATTTTAAGCTTACGGTAGACAAATTGTATTTATTGTTATAAGTTATGTGTGTATATATATATATTTTCTTGTATTCATCTTGCTTGGAGAAGTCAACAAATATACAGCTAAGCGCAGAGTGAATACCAAATGAAGAAAAAAAAACAATAAATTATAGGTGGACTTCAGCAAAAACGTTTGTAGACTATCACATAGATAAACGGTATTCGTAGGAGCTAAGTCTATTTACAGAGAATACACTAGAGTAAGATTATAATAAATAGTTGTACGTTAAATCGCAACCTAATATCCAACGGAAAAAATGCACATATGAGAAATGAGGAGAGTTGTGCATGAGTTGTCCCTACAGATTAAAGAACGATTCGAAACGAACTCGTGAACAGCCAAGTTTTAGATTGCATTGCAATGAGCAACATTCAAAGTGTGTGTAGAAGAGCGATTTTTACAAAATAGCCTCCTTAATCGCTGTTGTTAATCAGAGACTCTTGCTGCTCCTCATCGTTGACTCTGCGGAGTATAAATGTTGGTTGAAGGGAAAATTCTTTAGTTTCATTTAAAGTTAGTGACTTACCTGACAATGTTCGGCTTATGGCAACGGCAGACTTTTCTATATATAACTTTAAAGAGCTTCATTAGCGGATCGGAGTCATCATTTCGCATCAGCATGGAGACGAGAACCAAGGCTATGAATATCGGAATCGAGCCCATGTAGAACATCGGCGAATACGGCTTGTTCTTAAGCAGAACATCGAACAAGATGGCCAGCGGAATCTGCAGTGACATGGCCAGTGTGCCAATCAGCGAGGAGGTTAAAAAACAGCCCCACAGCCACAAGGCTTCAGCAAGCACCGTGCCAATTAGGCCATTCAGAAACAGCAAAGCGAACTGCCCTTGGCTGGGCAGCTCAAAAGTTTCGATCTTGGTGATGTGGAGTATGAAAAAGATTGGCCACAAAAGCAAAAGATTCCATAGACCCACAAAGCCTGAAAAAAACCAAAATAGATAAGCAACGATATCGGAACCAAAATGAAATGGATTAGCCTTACCGAAAAACAAAGGTATATCGACCTTTTCCTCCGTATCGCTTTTTCGCTTTACGAAAACTAGATAGGCGGCATAGAAGAACGCACTAAACAGGGCCAGGAGGACGCCTCTCGTCATCTTTGTGTCATGCAGATCGTTCATGGTTATGGCCACAACGCCGCCAATGTTCAGGGCAACTGCAATTACTTTGGTAATGGTCAGCTTGTCCCCCGTGGCCGAGGGGAACACAGCTGCCAGGCAGATAATAAAAAATGACGACGTAGAGCTAACGAGCGTTATCATGGCCGCTTCGTCCATTTCCAGGGCCAACTGGAAAAAGTAATTGGCCACAAACCAGAGCAGGCAGAATAGCAGCGCTGTCTTGGCCGTTTTGTGGTGCGTTTTCTGTCTCCTAATTCGCAGACTGGCGGCATAGGAGAGTCTGGCCATTAGGGCGTCGGTTGCCTCGTGGGCAGACATTTCCCTGACCTCGGCCATCTTGCTGAAGCGTACGCTACGCACGCTGGTATCATCGCTCTCGCTACCGGACAGAGAATTGGTGCTGCCATTACCGTTGGCTGCGGTCCCCAAATGCGGCGATCTGATGGGCACATAAGTGGGGTCGCCCTGGGGAAAGGTACATCCGTGATTAGATAATATATTGGGTAAACTTATATCAAGTTAGCTTACCAAAACAGCCTGGTTGGAGTAGTAGTTCTCGTCGTCCGCGTTCTGCTCCATCATCTGAGAGAAAATTTAAGAGTTAATATATGTTATTAGGTAGGATGTGATCTTCCTTACCGCATAGTTTCCATTCTGCCGCTCACAGGACTCCTTCCAGGGTGCTAGGATGCCTATGACCAAAAGATAAATACTGAACATGGAGGTTTTGAAGTAAGTGCAGAAGAAAGGCTTGTCGAACTTGGCCTCACTGTACAGAAACTAAGAAGAGGAGATGATTTATTATTATTTATAGAGACTTCAATCAAAGAACTCTTTACCTTTGTCAGCTCGCTGGATGAGACCCAGACTACATCGACTAGTATCAGTATGGCAATGCCCAGCAGCAGCTTCTGGCCGCGACCTAGCATGATTCTGCGGCTCCTCGCAGATTTTGCTCAAGAGAATTGTGTTTATTTTCTGGTTGGACTGACACCGACTGTCTCCTGACGTTTATCTCGTGGCAAGTGATTATTTACGCTTGTGCCGCCAGCGTTTCAGTTTCATTTTGGCGACGTTTGCCGGTCGGCTCCCTCGGAAATGATAAAAGTTCGGGTTACTACTAAACCATGGCAGCCTGAAATGGAAAGTAGGGGAAATTGGAATATCAGAAATAGTGTGAGAGTTAAAGTTCCGAGGGGGGGGGGCTTGAAGGGCAGTAACTGCATTTATTGATTTTGTGTTTGAGTGGGTGCGGCATTATTCGAGGCGCGAATTACTACTTAGCACCTTCGAAGGCTTTGAATGGGGTTTGAAAAGCGCCCTATATTTGATTATCGAAGCCATTGATCGCTCAATTAGCATCTGATTCACCGAAGATCTCAATCCAATTACAGATTTCAGCCAGATGGCATTAATTGTTAAACGAAATTAGCAAGATTCGCGGGGGATTGACTGATAAGATAGCGCTACCGAGTCCACCAGTATTATTTCGGCTAGCAAAATACAACAAATATAAATAAATATGTACATTTTAGGGGGCGGAGGCGAGGCGAGGCGGTCGCGGAGGTTGTTGATAACATTTGAACGCGGACAAAAACAAAATCAATAAATGGCAGTAACGAGATACGGCTTTAAAATGTGAGAGCAGCAACAAGTTTTAGCATTAAATTCGTTTATCGTTATATATTGGCTTATTCTTACGCTTGGCTAATTTATTCAGTTTTTTGTACCATATACTTCTGAATTTTCCCAGAACTTGTTTTTGTCTCTTTCTCTGTGGCAGCTGTTTTGGTTACCTCAAACTCGGTGTAGCGAATACCGCTGGTTTTCCTTCGATTTAATCTTGATAAAGGAGTTTATGTTTTGATTTAGCTCTTGATTGATTTGGAATAAGGTGCTTTTTAATACTGATTCTGATTTTAATTATTTTTTTATCACACAGCTGGAGACCGGAACAGTGTTGGTTAGATTCAAAAGGCTGGCGATAACTCACCAATTGCTGAGAAACACTTATCGATATATAGGGCTGCATCGATAGTCAGTATTCGATAACCACCTTATCGAGTAAGGCGCTCTTTTGAAATAGTCTATACTCTTGCTGGTAATTTATTTACGTTAGTGTTTTGGCTTTTGGCAATCAACCTTTTCGGCTACCTAATTTATGCAAACAATGCTGACAAATTACTCGTCTACGCGCGGCAATTTAAAGTGGAATTATGCTGTCACGCCTGAAGGACGAAGGACGACACGCACTCTCGAAAATGTTGCGGCCGCAAATGATATTCAAATACCGAGTTGATACTCGAGATTTGCGACGGAGACAAAGACGACAATTCGCCTACGGCGAAGGGACACCACACAGGCAAACCAAGAGGATTCAGGATAGCAGACGAAACGGACAGACGGACGTACGGCTCAGTTTCACTTTCATCACTTCAAACCCGATTAAGCACCTCATTTTATGTGTTATTTATCTACTGATTGGATGGCGGCGATACGGGCGAGCAGGAGGACCCCTCCAGCTGATAAGGATGTGGATCTGGGGTGGTGGCGGTGTCTAGTCCATTGCCTTTGTTATTTTCCACTCGGCAGGGTGTTCGCTTACGCTTTCGCTTTCACCTCTCGTCTCGCCTATTAAAGGACGACAAAAATACGCGTATAAATGCCACATAAAACAATACAAAGAATAATAGGCTACCATTTTTCACCACCACCACCCCCGGCAGCGGGGCCACGCCCACTTTTTGGGAGTCTGTCAGGCAGCCACTCAGTCGGCGACACCTGTCAAGCTGCCTCCTTGGGCTCCTTTGGGCTGTCGGGCTGCCGCTCCCTTGGCTGCTTTCCCAAGACGCGTATGTGCGTAGGCATAAAATAAATAAATAAAAAATTGACTAACCAGACGAAGGGGAGGATGGTGGCAAAGGAACCCAGGACCTCTTGCTCTGTGTGTGTTTGTGTGTGTGTGTCTCTCTCTCGCTCTACCTCCCTCTAGCTTAGGCCGAGAAAATAATATTATGTCGACCCATTGAGACGAGCATGATGTAATTTTCTTTTCCGTTAAGTTTCATTTGCTCTCAAGTTGACACACACACCACAGGCACACACACATTTTATGTATTTTTTTTCTTTTATTTTTTTTGGGGCAGGTGCAGCATTGGCAATTTGTAAATTTTGCAATTGTTAACTTCAGTGCGTTGACAGTGCCTCAAAGTCAGAGTCACAGTCAGACTCCGAGTCAGTATTAGCGAAATGACATAATTCCAGGATTCAATTATATTGCCATATTACATAAGCCGATTACAGCGATGATAACAAAGCATTAAACTCATTAGGCGGCCACTCCAACAAATGTCAAACAGAGACAATGACGCCGCTGCAGAGTAGCGTCGGGATGAAGTGGTGGAGATGTTGGGGAGCTGGAACGGCAGCTGGCAGAGGCCAGGCCCATTAAATGAACTTATCAATAAAAAAAGAAGAGAATATAAGCAGCAGGAGGGAAAAAACAGTACCACATCCCTAGTACAGTGGGAACTCTGGTGCTTATCCCAAAATAAGTCCTTTAGAAAATTAGTTATTTGATTTTAGAAAAATGTTGAATTAAAGGTTTTTTATTATGATAGATGAAATATCCTTTAAGTTTATATATATTATAAAAAATGTTATATTTTCTTAATCAGATTAATGTTTTAATTATTTTTTGGTCTAAAACAATGAGTATTATTAAGGGTAAGGAAAGAGAGTTATTAAAATCTTTCTAATTGCCTTGAATCTATAATAAACTCTTAGATATAAGACCAGCTCTTCTTGTCTATATCTTCCAGCTTTCATGTCCTGCATTACACCTTAATCCCTACTTTAAGCCCTCCAATATTGCATTCATTATAGTCAAGTTCAACTGTACAAAGACGGCAAACAATGAAGGGAAATGGTAGAGGCAAAGGCAAAAGGGAGAAAGGGCAAGTCGAGAAAGACAATAAAGGCAAACAGAACATAAATTGAAGCAGTCCGCACCAAATATCAACAAAAGCTTGACCAGTGGGTGGCAAACACACCCGCAAACACACAACACACACCAAAGCAAATGAGAGTCCTGCAAAAAAAAAAAAATGAAAGTAAAGAGAGAGCGCGAAATAAAACGATATCGCATATCATGAAAAATCACAGCAGCAACGCGGAAAACCCAAAATTAAATGTCCCCAGTGGACACACAACAAAAAACAAAAAAAAAAGATGGGAAGCTAACTTCGGCACGCCGAAGATTGTATACCCTTGCAGATTGAAATTCGATCACTAGGAATTAATACAATATAAAATAATAATAATAATATAATAATATTATATATATTTATGTTTAAAAACAAATAAGTAATGCCTGCTTTAATTTCATTCGCATTTCCCTCAATCTTTAATGATCATTTGTAGGGCAGCTATATGATATAGTAGTCCGATTTTCATAAAATTGTACATAAAATTGTAGATTAATATATGGCTATCTATCAAATTTAAAATTATAATTTTTATTTTTAAAATTTTGCGATCGTTCCTATGGCAGCTAAATATATTTATGTATATAGTCCACCGATTCGCCATGCTCCGAATCATATACTAGTAAACTTATACAGAGGAAGAACTCAATAGTTTCATTCAAATTTTTAATTTGTCCCAAAACAACTCTCGCACATCTATTCTTATGATTCACAACTTGTTCTAACATCCCCGGAACGAAGTGACTTCTGCCGGCCAAGTCTCAGAAATGTGTTGTGTTACAAAAGTTGCAAGTCATTGTTTATTAGTGTTCAAAGTTAGTAACCGTAGTCAAAGATACTTACTGATTATATTTACTTACTGGTTATAGATACTTACTGATCATAGTTCATTACTGGTCATATATACTTACTGCTCATAGTTTATTGCTGATAATAGTTATTTACTGATCATAGTTACTTACGGATCCAAAATCAAACAAGTATTAATTAATTAATTTTTTTTTTAGGTTACTAAATCGCATACTCTATTTAAACTTTTAAAAAATTAAATTTTTTTCCAATTTTTTAAAATTTTAACTCTGTAATCCCTTATAAAATGTTCAAAATTTTGAAAAAAAAAATCATGAATGTATATGATTTATATGGTCGGAAATGAATCTTTTACAGCGTTACAAGTTTCTGACTGAAATTCAAATACTCTTACAAAGGACATAAGTATAAGGACTCCCAGTTCGGGTATGACAGGGAGCTGGAATGAAAAATGATTGACTTTTATGCTGTAGCGCATATTCGGTCTTTAACATAATATTTGTCATAAAATTAAGGGCTGCTGTTGCTGGGGTAAGCGAGAGTGGTGTCTGAGAGCGGCAAACATTGTCATAAAAAAATTTGCTAAATGCCGGCACGCAGGGAAGAGCTGCCTCTTGGCCAAAAGGCACAAAAGTTCATGCAGTTCACAAATTGTTCGTTCGCCACACACAACACAACACACACATACACATATACATATATGTGCACATTTCCGGTTAAAATAATAATGCCACGGATTGTGCAGGCTGTGAGGGAGAGGTTACTGAGGAAGGACGATAGCTACCCAACAAAAGCAATAATTATGGCAAACGAGTTTGCCTTCGTCTTACGCCTTTTGTCGCCCATTTTCCTGCTTTGACATAAGCCTTAACCTACAAAGATGTAACGGAGGGGGAAGAACAGCGCCCTCGTCCTTGCTTACTGTCAGCCCCCACACACAGACACACCCAAACCACCCACCCAACCACCTCTCACACTTGCCAACAAAAACAGTGAGCAGAGAGACTACGACGACGACGACGACGACTACGACGATGACACCCAATGCTTTCCCTGTCATGTACAAGCAACAAAGCAATCGAAGCTGGCCCCTGCTCAACCCGCCAAAGAAGCGCCGACTATTGTTGGCCAGCTACCAAGGGGGGAGCAGGAGGTCCTTCATATCCTTTTTACCGCTCCCTCTCTCGCTCTCTCTCTGTGTGTGTGCAGGAAATTTCGTTTTATGCGCGAGACAAATCGCACCTTATTATGTGAGGCAGGCATATGTATGGGTCCCTGGGTGTCCTGTGTGTCCTGTGTGCGATTGTGGGGCGTGTGCAGACATTCGGTGTTGGCTCTGTTCGTGTGTGCGTTTCGACTTTGCGACGAGCCATTATCCACACTCATGCACCCACGCTCTATCTATGGCTTTATCACCCAAACAACAACAGCAACAACAGTAACACTCACAGGGCTCTCACACACACGCACACTCAGCTGTAGGAATTTACATTTTACGTCCTGCATACGTACAGATATGAGAGTGTGAGTGAGTGATGGGTCTGGGGGGTGATGGGTGGATGGTGTTTGGTGGGGTATTCCCAAAAATGGTTGGACATCGAATGCGCCACTATGCTTATCCGATTTTGAGCTATCAAACCGTTCTAAGATGTCAACGTTCTTGAAAGATATTTAGTGTTACCAGGGAACTCTCTGCAACTATTATCTTTTCTTATGATCGCCAGTTCAGCTTTTTAGAAAGAACATTTTAAGCTTGTTTATTATTTAATTGCTACAGACTTCTATTATTTATATAAAGATATGAACGTTATTTTTACCTTCGATTATGAATATTTATTCCTTTTACTAGTATCTTTCATATTTCTTTAGTGACTTCATAATATAATTCGTATTTTAAATCTTTCTTAATCCTTCAACTTTCATTCCACAGACTCCCTTCAAAGAACTCAGACTTAGACTTCTATATCCTTTATATTCTTATCTCCACCTTTTTATTGCCACCCAAGTTATCCTGTGGCTTGCATTAACCTATTTTTGGGGCAAATGTTCTTCCTGTTCTTCCGGCCACTATCATTCCCATATCCGCTTTGGTTTTTATAGCGCGCATTTTAACGGTATCTCTAGCGCCATCTTCAGTTGCTGCCAGTTCGCAGCTCGTAGCTGGCATAATTATCAGACAAGAGCTCTGGCGTTGTGGCCACCATTTGTGGGTCAAGACGCTCCGAACGCGTCTGAGTTCGATTTCGAATCTGAGTCACAGTCATCGCCCATCATCGATAAATGCCGGGCATTAGTTTAGTTTCCCTTTTTGCCTTCCAGCGATTCCACGAAGGCAGCGCAGACACCACGCCCGCTACAATAACAAAAACAGTAAATCAAGAGAGAGTGAGAGAGAGAAAGTGGGGGAAAGGAAAAGCAAGGAAGTAGCAGCAAAAAGCGGCTGTCGACTCCCTTGAAGCTTCTTTTTATACACACAATACAGTGGGACGTCCTTAACTTGAACTGTCATCGAATGATAAGGATCTCTTATGTTATAAACTGATTAAATATATCTTGTTTACTTAAAACATTTGCTTTATATTTTATTTAAAAGAAATTATACAAAAGCTAATTAAAAGTAGTAACAATTAGTTCATATGTAATATTTCAAATTATTTAAGTTAAAAGGTAAATAAATAAAATATAAAAACAAGAAAGGGTTAAGCATCGTGTTGCCGAAGTTTATATTCATTTTTAGCTTGAAATTGAATAGGATCGGATATGAAATCGATCATAACTAAGCTTATTTATAAATATTTTTATATGACAATTTTTCCAATAATTCAAAATTTAAAAAACTCATAATTAGGCTAAAAATGTATTATTTTTAATTCGGAAAGCTTTCCTATGTTGGTTTTTATTAGTAAAAAAAAATCTGCATAATATATTTAAAATTTTAAAGATGTAACCCCTTTCTTTTTATTTTTTTAAAATGGAAAATATTTTGAAAATTGTTTTTTCTTTCTGGAGATGGCTAGATCGATTCAGCTGTTGATGCTGATCATGAATATATATGATTTATAGCGTCGGAAATAAATCCTTTACAGCGTAACAAGCTTTTTACTGAAAGGATATATTAAATATATTTGGTGTCCTTCTTGGAAGTTCGCCTGTGTTTTTTGGCGGCATTGTTTGTGTTTGCTTTTGTTTTTTGGTGGGTGGCATTGGGTGGTGGCTAAGTGTGGAGACTCTCTGTGCATCCGCTCGCCGCGTGACTTGCCCGAGGGAATTTTTGTGGGGGAGGGGGGTATGGCGGTGGGGCATGTCCTGCCGCTGTCTCCCTTTTTATCACATTGTTTGGCCGCTTTGTGCCTGCGCGAAATTTCATTCACAAAACTTGCCTCTGCCCACCGCCCCGCCGCGTGTGTGTTTATATGTGTGTGTGTGTATGTGAACGCTCCTTTCTGCGTTTGCTCTTCGTTGTGGTGCGTGTGCAAAAAAGAAAAAAAAAGGAAAAACCGAAAAAATAAAATAAAGTAAAGTAAAATAAAATAAAATGAGCAGAGCGACTTGTGCGAAGGAGGGACTGCGCAAAATCCTTGCCGCGTCCTTTCGCTGCCTTGCCTCTCGTTTCGTTTCGATTCGTTTGCTTTCGTTTTGGTCAGGCGGCGTCCTTGTAACGCTTATATCTGAAATGCTGAGCGACGAAGCTACCTTGGCCCGCTCACAAGCCAAAAACTCAACTGGCAAACTGGCAAACTGCGAAACTGGCAAACTGGGAAATTGGTAAACTGAAACTGCGATACTGAAACTGAGAAACTGAAGCCAGGACTGAAATTGAAGCGGATGTTTCACGCTGCCATGAGATGCGATGCGATGTGATGCGATTGGATGCTCAACTTACCAAAACTGTCAGATCCGGCGATGATAACAAGTCTGATTCTGATTCGGGAACTGGGTACTCGGGATGCTGGATTCTATATAACTCTTGACAATTGCATTTTTGAACTGACTTGGTAATGGAATTTCCCGGAGCGTCACAGCCATCCAATTGCATTCAATTAGTTTAATGTCCTGCCACGCGAAAAGAGTATTAATTTAAAGGCAAATATATATATACAGATATTTTAAATTTACATTTGAGCTTAGCTTAAGATAGTTTTACTTTAACATGGTGAAAAAGATCAATGAATTTGAAAAATGAAATTCAATAAGCAATGAATCTTTAATGAATATGTATGTCTTAGAATTAAGAAGGTAAAACTATAATAAATATGGCCTTAATATGAATTTAAATTACTTTGAATAGGCCTTAGGTTTTGTCTGTATTAATAATATTGTAAATATGTGGCAGACATCATAGTAAATAGTTAGTAAATAATAAGTAAATATATTAATCTTACAAAATATTCAATCAAGAAAGAAATAAATAATAAAGGTAAATATAAATCCTCTTCAGTATTCAACTAACATAAAATTATTTCCGTAAAATCCTCTTATTAACTTCCTTTTCTCACTTTCACTTTAAAAATTATAGCTCATTTTCCGATTTTTCTTGGAAGAGTATACAGGACTCTCTAATGCTTACCTTAACTTTGCTTCTCCCTTCTAGTTGTTGTTGTTCTTATTGTTATTATTATTTTCTTATTTGTGCAGGCATTTTTGGTTTTGTTTTCCATTTTCTCAGTGCCTTTCTCCCATCCTTACACACACACACACACAGACCCATACGTTCGCTCGCCGCAAATTTTCTTGAGGGTTATTCCGTTTCTTATCAATTTCTGCACACACACCGACATGTGTGTGTGTGTGTGTGTGGGTGTTTTTGCGTGGGTGTGTGTATTTGTGTGTGTGTGAGCCAGCATAAGTTTGACACATTCATATCCATGCCACAAACACCAGCGAGCCATCTTCCATGTTCTCGACGATGTCCTGGCACTTTCACTCTCCTCGTGGAGAGATTCTTGGGTGGGTTTTTGTGAGTCCTGTGTGTCCTGAGTCCTTTTGCCCGTCTGGCTTGCCTGGCTTGCCCTGCTCTGTTCGGTTCTGTTGTCCTTGCATGTGTCACAGTTATTGATTGGAATGCGCATAAATTGAAGCAAACTGCTTTCCAAGCCAAATGATTTTCGCCTCGCCCGCTTTCCTTCCGCTTTTGTTGTTCTAATTTTTCCTCTTTTCGATTTCGGTGTCGCCGTGCCGCGCCTTGCCACGGTTTGTTTTCCTTTCCCACTTCACTTGGTCACTTCTCGGATCGGATAGGATCGGGACGGGGTGTGGCCATTGCCAGGACCGGTTTCCCCGTTTGATTTGTCGTGGCAGTTACTTAAGTTAATTACCAAAAAAAAAGAGAAAACTTAATAATTCAAGTGCTGTCTCTCTGTCGTTCTGTTGGTCCTTTCTACCCTCTCCCGCCCCTCGCCCAGCCAGCTCTTTTCATCTCGGAATGCCCAACCGCCAACTACTATTGAGTGAGCGGCTGTTCATCCGCTGAGTGTCTGTTTGAAGGTCGACGCGGCCTTGGGCAGTCATCTCAGCTGGACGCCGGCGAGTGCTCGGGGTGAATATGCATCACCGGAATTGGTCATCAACAGGATACTCATTGGCAGGACTTGAGATGGGATTATTATTTGATATAGATTACAATATAGGGTCTACAAATTAAGGATTAATTAATATAATAAACTATTTCATATTTTCATTACGAAATTCACAGCGATTTTTTCGGTGTGCGATTTTATAGCATACTTTTCAGCATCAAATCCTTTAGTGATTAATTTAACACTCCTGTAAATGTTTTTGAAGAAAAGATTTGTTTTGTGGTGTTTTTTTTAAGTATCTTTATCATTAATTATAAAATTTTAATTCTTAAGTTCATAAATATATTGTAGCAAACATTTCAACAACATGTTTATTAATTTGAAATCAACATTACAAATTAAAGTAGCTCACTTTTTGTTATTGTCCTCTTTAAGTCCACTTTTGAAATTATGGAGACAATATTGAATTGCTGTTATTGGAACAAGTTGTTCCTGTGAGCCATATTAATTGGTTGTCAGCCATTAGATTGCCGCTAATTGCCAATCAAGTAGCTGCAGGGAACCGAAAACTGGGGGAGCTGTAGCTGCATTCCACACCCCATAACCCACATATCGCATCCTGCACCCTGATCCCGAGTCACCTGGCAATTATCTCTCTCACACCGGTGTACTCCCGACTCCTTCAGCGACTCCCGGTGACTCCAAGTGACTTTGCCGTAAGCTGGCGGGGCGAAACTAAAACACGTCGAGTGGGATTAAACGACATTATAGGGTATTACACATTTAGGCCAAGTGAGACAAAGACAAAACGCCATAACGGAAGACAAAGACAGAGACGGAGACGGAGACCGAAAAGTAAAAGTAAGCGCAAAAAGCAAAATATAAAAAAGAGGAGGAAAAACAGGGCGGGAAGAATGTGAGATAGATGAGTTGAGTCAAGTGCCGGGGCCATTGAGTGACTCTCTTTCCTCCTCTACTGCTCCCCGCTTCTGCTTCTGCTCCTGCTCCTGCTCCCGCTGGCTCTGTGATTAAGTGCCCTGCAGCAAGTAATTCTTCTTGCTTCAACTCGAACGGGGACCCGAAAAATGGGTTTTCGAAAAGGCCGCTGGCCCAACAGAGCGGGCAGCGCTAACAGAGCTCTGTTAGCTGGCCGCAGGATGGGTCCTGGAAAGCGCCAAGGAGAGCATGGGGAGCTTGACAGCTGGAGAGAGACAGCGCATGCAAGGAGCCTGAGAGCGCTGGCTCTCTCCTTTGTCAGCTGCTCTGCCCTCGGGCGTGAGTTCGTGTCAGGACTCGGGCGTGCTTCGGCCCAGGACTCGTGTCCTTTAGGACCGCTCGCACATTCCAGTCGAGCGCCATCTGCAATTGTGGCACAGTCAGTGCCGTTTGGGGCCATCAGCAGGAAGCAGGATTGTACGGTATTTGTCCTGCGACGTCGCGTCCACAAAACACACAATTCTTGCCTGTAAACTGTCACAAGAAAATAAGAAAAAAGATTTAGAAAAGAAGTCAGCAGAAGCAGCAGCAGCTTTTCAAAGTGAATCTAACGGTATTCGGGACTTGAGAATTATATAGTGGCCGGGGTTGGCGATGGTGATGCTAATCCGAAACCAAAAAAATCAAAGCATGGAAGGAAAATCTGCCAAGCATAACTCTCGAGCACTATAACGCCTACCACGCCCCCCCGCATTCTGGCGTGTGTCCCCGCCCACACATGCGAAAATAACCGTTACACGGCCGTTGATGCTGCGCTCTGCGTAGAAGAGGAAGAGTTGCCCCAAGTATATATGTATATATGTTTATATTACATATATATTTGTATATATTTACATATATAGGTAGCCCTTCTTCTTCTGCTCGCTAAACCCCCTTTAAATAAAATAATATATAAAATAAAGTGTTCAGTGCTATCGCCTATCGCTATCGATACGCCTAACCTAACGGGAAAAGCGAAAAGAAAAACAAAAACGGTTGCGCCTCGTCGAAAATGTTATATAATGCCGAATAAATAAAAAGAAAAATGAATGGTCCCCCTGTTTTTCGGGAAGTTTTTATTTATCGACTTTGTTCGATAGCCCGTAAAAAAACCCCCGAGTTTCGACGGCAATCCCCTCGATAAAGAGTGCTCCAAAGTTTTCGTGCTACGTTCCGGGCTTATATAAGCGGCTGTTGTACTGAAACGAAAGGATCCCGCAACCAGCACACGCACCAAGAAAAAAAAAGAGAAAATCCTTATACATATACACCTACCCACGAGTGTTCGTGCTTTTGTGTGTGTGTGTCTGCTTGCGAGTGTGTGTGCGCAGTGTCAACGCAGCAAATAAAACAAAAGTGAAAGTTAACACACAAAGAGCAGAGGAAGAAAGCCGTCGAAAAAAAAGGCAAAGGCAAAGAGGACAATCGAGGATTTAAATAATACACGAAAAGTGCTGAATAAAATGTTGTAGGCTCCATTGTCGCCATCACGTTCGCAAATTATGCTTTTTCTTTTTTCATTTTCATTTTTCTTCCTTTTTTTGTGGTTGAAGGAGAAGAAAGGACTTGAATTTTGGGGCTCGCTTTCTTTTTTGTTGGTCTCATTTCAAATATCCTTCGATATTTCCACTTCTTGGACTTTGGTTCTAACACCAATACAGAGGCCCATGGCATACGAGAGAGAGTCACACGCATAGGCTTACCACCAATACTCGTAAAAGAAAGAACCGTTACAGTAGCGAAAGGGGCGACTTCTTGTGCTGCTGCGGCTGCTGCTTCTTCTTCGCCATCTTCTTGTGCCTCTTCTTATTGCCAGTTCTTCTTCTTCGCCATCTTCTTCTTGTGGAAAATAAAAAAAAGTGGCATGCGGAGTGCTTGCCTGGCTGCCCTAAGTAACTACTCACACACACACGCACTTGGAGAGAGTGGGTGAGAGAGCCACACAGACGCATGCACGGCAGCAGCAGCAGCAGCAGCTTACACCCACTCGTTCTCGTTCTCGTTCTCTTTCTGCCTCTGCCTCTCCTTCCCATTCCCATTCCCTTTTCCTTTCCCATTCCCATTCCCATGCTCCTTGCTCCTTGTGGATCCGTTCGCTGTTTTTGTGTTTGCAGCGCAACCAACAAAAACAAGCAGCAAAGCAGCAGAGAGAAAGCAAAGCGAGCAGAAGCAGAGCAGCGAATTATATAAATTTCTTTGCACTGTTCGCAGCTGTATGTGTTTGTGTGTGTGTGTGTGTGTTAGATATACGGGATTTCCACGACCATTTTTTTTTGGCTTTCTTCTTTTGTGCGGTGTTCGCGTTCGTTCGTTCGGTTCAAAAGCTTCGGCAAAACGAAGAGCTCCTGCCATCCCGCTCGCTCACTCGCTGGCTCTGTCTCTGAAAAATGCTAATACAAATCGAAATAAAACTAAGGCAAAAACCTAATCAAAACTCGAATAATTATATAAAACAGTTTCGAAATTCGATTGTCACTAAGTTTATGAACAAATTAGCCAAACCTTTATCGTGATTAAGAGAGAGCAAACCGAGAGAATTGAGCGAACGAGAGCAAGAGCGTGAGCGCACGAAAATCACATTTTTTTTAATGTCGACTTGGAAGGATAACCGAAAAACACACATTAAAATCGGGGAAATTGTAGAGTCCCAAAGGATAACCAAAAAGCAAGCCAACTTAAAAAATAAAATGGATTAAATCCCTTAAAGTGCAGTTAAAGTTCAACAACAACTTCTTTATTCTTTCGTGCAGATTTCTTAACTAATTAATTATGTGAGCAAACCAACAAAGAAAGCCCTAAAACAAAGCAACAACATCAACAACAACAACCCCAACAACAAGAAAACCAATTCAACGAAGCAAACGAATTTCCATTAAAAAATGTCCAATTCCAAGGTTATTGTGCAAAAACAACAATAATAATAAATAAATATATTAAAACGTAAATGATATTAAATATAATAAATATATAACAAATGTTAATACTATGAAAACGACAACTAAAACCGCGATTCGCTCTAACGGGAATCAATATTCGCAGGCTGGCCAGTGAGTTGCTGGCAAGGAACGGGGATTCAGGCCGGGATTCATGCCGCTGGATGCAGGGCAGCCACTGAAGCTGAAGCTGGAGCGGCTCAGGCGGGTACAGAGCAACGGGAATTGGGAGTGGAACAGGAACCCAAACCCGTACCGGTTAAGGAACAGGAACAGGAACTGGGCCAGGCAGCTGACGGATCGGACCGGACCGGAGAGAGCGACGCTCCAAGAAGTCCGCCCAACAAGTCCGCCGCCAACACTACCGATGATGATGGGGCCATGAGCCCGTCATTACTCGCATTGAATTGGAGTCGCAAGCGCGTCTCAAGCGGGCCTGCACCATGCTAGCACCGCCGAACCCGAGGTCAATATGCGGCCAGGACCCGGGCTGGTCGTGATGGCGCTTGCGTTTATTTCGGGGGCTCGGCGAGGCAGCAGCAGCGGCATCAGCTCAGCGACAGCGACACCGACACCGACATCCACAGCGGCAGGCGACGGCGGGAGCAGAGGGGCAGAGGGCAGGGGCAACGACCGAGGAGGCGGCATCGCTAGAGGTGAAGGCTCAACCACGTTACCGTCCACTGGCGAGTCCTCGTCATTCGTTCGCAGCTCTGGCTCGTACCTGCTGCCCATCTTCCTGCCCCACCATCTCGACTTGGCGCTCCAGTTTGGGCCACGTTTGCCGCCCGGCAATTACCACCACCAGCAGCAGCACCAGCACGACCACGCCCGCACCGAGTCCTGGATATCGTCGAGGATTGCGGACAGGCGACAGCGGCGGCGGCGACGAGATAGTAGCAGTAGCAGCAGGGATATAGCAGGTCGGGCGGGCGGAACAGAGACAGTGACAGGAACTGGGATAGGGACAGGGATAGCAGCCAGCAAGGGATCGGGCACAGCGGCAGTCACAGCGGGCACAGCGGAGTCCAGCGAGGAGGAGCAGGAGGAGGATCGCGATCCGGGACTGCCGGTGCAGTTTCCCTCGTCGCAGGCCTTCGACGAGGACGAGGATATCTTCGCCCTGGTGGCCGAGGACGATCTGCTGTCCGAGGAGTCCTTTGATCGTCTGATCAAGCTTAACGAAGACATTGACGAGGAGGATTACAAGCAGCAGCAGCAGCAGCCGCAGCCCGTGGAGGAAACGGAAACGGAAATAGAAACAGAGCCAGAGCCAGAGCCAGAGCCAGAGCGAGAGCGAGAGAGCGAAACGGAAACAGAGACGGAAACGGAAAGAGAAGCAGAAGCGGATACCGAAACCGAAACGGAGCAGCAGCAGCAGGACGAGAGTCGGCTGATTGATGAAGGAGTCCTGCAGCATACCGACAACAGCCACAGCCACTCGCCGGAGTCCGCCAACAGCTACGATAATAACAATAACAAACGAGAGGCCAGCGGCCGCATCCTTGATGCCCAGACGGCCCAGCTGATCGGACACAAGGATAGCAGCCTGTCAGCCGTGGCCACCACCGAGTCAGCAGGCGCCATCAGCAGCGGTAGCAGCACCACCACAACCTTGCCAGCACCCGTGGACCTAAAGAAGTCCATACTCGGCACAGCGAGCTCGTTAACACGCCTTAATCCTTGGATATCAGCCTGTGATCTGGCACAGCCGGGCACAGCAACCGACTTGCAGGTGAGTCTTCAAGACTGCCCGATGGTCAGGATCAAGTAGATTATGTCCTGGCCAGAGGCAGCCCCTGGAGTGGGGTTTAATTTGGCTTTGCTTTGTTTTTAGTCAAGCATGTCATAGTCATTCAGGGAAAAGGACCTTTAAAGTGACTTCAAATATATGTTCTGGTTAGATTATTTAGTTGAAAGATACTATTAAATATGCAATTTTATAATCTAATAGTAGTTATTAAAGTTATTGATGAAGGATTTAGATCAGATCAGATTTACAAATTTATTTTTACATAAAAAAAAGGATACAGAGTTCAGTATTTAACACTCAGTATTCAAAGCCACCATTTCTCTGAACGTCATCTTGACTTTTCCCCATTCAAGAGACCCGATTTCGAAGACGACTTATTTCTTGATCCATATTTTTTCACTGCAAAAAAAAAGGAAAGCTTCCGAGCAATCGTCGACGACAAAGGAGAGCTTAAGTGCACACCAATGCAAATAGGAGGAATACGCACAAAGGACCCACTCGAATGCATATACAAATTGTGTGCATTTCAAGGGATTCTTCTTATTGCCAAACGACCGGCAATGTGGTCCCTGGCCATTGCGACTCAGCAATATTGAGAGTTGCCGTTGATGACGAGGACGATGAGAGTTCAGCTGAAGCTGCAAAAAGTGCTGCCTACTTTTGTGGGCGAAGGGAAGGAAGAGATTAAGCTGCAGGGTTTCTACAGTCCAAATAAATGGTATTTATTACTTTTCAAGTCAATTAAAGTTGGGCCAAAACCAAGCAGGAAAACCTTAAGTTTTCGCCTGGTAAACTCTGCCAACAAGGCGAGGCAAGGCCTTTTGCACATTATTATTGCCAGTTTTTGTCGCCGTTGAGCAAGCTACTTTGGGTTTGTTGGCTTGCCACTCAAGCTGCCAAAGGAAAAGTGATTTTTTTCGCCACTATATATATATATACTATGCTATATAGTATTCGCTGTGACAATTGTGTGCCACATCTTTGGCCATTTCAAGTGCCACGACAGCTTCATCATGGCCGCCAGCATCATTATTGAAATCATCATCGTGGTCGTCGTCGTCGTTGTCGGTGGCGGAATCATCAGCGTTAGTGCTGGCAACTGGAAAAACGTGCTGCAAATCAACGAAAATGCCTTGGTAATTGTGCCAGAAAGTGGGGAAAAACCGAGCAAAAAAAAAAAAGGAAAAAAAACAGAGTAAACCAACGGAGGGACAGGCAAACACTTTCAAATTGATTTCTTTCTCGGCTTGTTCGCTTTTGGTTGTCTGCCAAAAAATCCCAGCTAACCACTCACCTATAGAATATTCCAGCTTCCGCGCCTCCCCCTGGATTGGCTTTGCCAAGTGTAATTCAGATTTTAATATTTATTAATGCATTCGAGCTCCTAATGGAAATTTAATTGATTCGAATATTGAATTCTCACGCCTTTTTTCTCCCTCAGGTGAGAGGAGAAGCAACCACAATGATGTGGCTTAAATCTCATTCAGACAGATAGACAATTAGCCAGGATCTAATTTAAAATGGCAATTGCTTAAGTCGAAGGCACACTATCGATTTTCCAATTAATTCAATGAGTAAAAGCGAAAATACCTTTTACCAAATGTATTTCATTTCGATTGCCTGCCACTCAACCTGCCAGCCTGTCGGCAATTAAGCAATTAAATCAATCAAGTTGTTTCAAGGACATTAGCTTGGCATCGGCTAAGAATGATAATGGTGCTGTTACGACTAATCTTTCTAATCGTGTCAACTTTTTGCACTTTCTTATCTACCATCGAGGAAATAAACTACATATTGGGTAGAAAAAGTAATTAGTTGCTGTGCTGTTTTCTTGAATTTGTTTGCTCAGGTAGAAATGTTTGAAAGGTTTTTCAGATTTAGCCTTAAAAGTGTTATAAATTTTAGTAGTTTGTCAACCCTTTGAAGTACTTTTTTATCTGCAGAGCAGAGGCCAAAAATCCTCGATAACATTGCAGCACAAAGACCTGTCCGAACTTTCAATTAAGCTTTGTCCCAAAAAAGGGCGACTCGCCTGCATTCAAGTTGCAAATTAGCCAACAGCTCTGTTTCACCATCTCGCTTCCTGTCAGTTTTTCCTCGCTCTTCCTGCCTGTTCTGCCATTCTCTTTAGCTGGCCGTTTTTGCAAGCGCAAGGACTGAATTTATGATGGCAAAATTCGCAGCATTTGGCGGCCTGTTGATGTGTTGATGCCCCAGTGGATTCGCATGCAAAGGCATCCAGCAGCAGCAGCAGTAGTCGGGTATCCTTGTCACTGTGTCGGCTGCAGGGTTAGGAATATCGAGGACTTTAGGGGTGGCATGACTCGGGGTCCTTGCAACGCTGCAACGTTGTGTGCAAATGCGTTGTGTGTGCTGGAGCTTGGATGGTGTTGTGCCACTTGGATTACGAGTGCCCATCGAAATGTGGATGGAGTTGAAGAATCAAGGAACCGAGATCCATTGCTCGTTTTCAGGTGATTTAATCAGTCGCACAGTTACCTGGGAAATTCCATGTTTGCATTTCCTCTGTTTTCAGTTTATATGTTTTTTCTTGTTTTTTGATTCATGCAGGCCAAACAAAATACAAACGAACACACTCCAAATGTTTGTACAATATTTCAATGGATTCATTCAACTTTTAGCTGTAACTACGGCTGCTGCAAATTGCATTTGCAGTTGCAAAAACCCCTCGAATTCAATTAAAAATCCTTTAGCTTTGTGGGAATTTAATCCACAATTTTTACAGAGCTTTACGACGAACACCCCGGCACGGCCAGCTCATGGTGGGTTCAACTCTGGCAGAGCCGAGAGCGAATGTTTATTTGTGTCAAGGATGTGTACAAAATCAATTATTTTGTAAGCAGTTGCTGCTGTTGCTGCTGCAGTACGTTGCAGGTTGCTGCAGCAGCAGGTTTCTGGTTGCTCCTCCTGATTACATCATTCCAGCCACACTGCGGAACCCATCGAGACACAAACAACCGAAAACTGTCATAAATTTTCCGCCCTCGGGCAGTCGTCCTGTGGAATATCCTTTGCCTCTGAATGTGAATCTGCCTGTATATGCATCAATTGTTGTCATTTCCCCCCATTGCTGGAGTTTAATTCCGTTGATTTTACCATTTCAATTGAATCAAAATATTGCCAATTGATTACAGGAAATGTCATATGCAAATGATATCGTTAAATGTCATTAAATTAAGAAGAAAAAGTCAAAAAAGCAATGTGGAAATTGAATTTGCCTTAAATGTAATAAGACCAGGATCAGATTCTGTGTGTTATTCACTTAGACAAACTATTTAAAGTGCAGGTTATATTTTAGTACTTTTCAGTAATACGCAGAATGAAATTAATTCATTTAAAAATGGAATTATGGAATTAAACCATTCAAAAGCTCTTTTCTGTTCAATTTGTTTAGTATTGTCTATGAAAAACAGCCAATGCATTAGTATGCCCCTCTTACAAAACATTGAACTTAAAGTCAGAACTCTCTCACATCAATCACATATCTAAATAATTAAAGATAACCCCTTCCATGATGTCCTTTCTGCAAGTGTCTTGTCATCAAATGACGGCACATTAGAGGCTCAACTCACAGGCGAAGTTTAATTAGTTGACTGCAGATTAGCCCGGCTAAGATGTCGGGTTTACCTTCGTGCTGGAATCGCTGAGAATGTTAATTGGCAACAATTTGCATTTTCAGCTCTGCAAATGGGGCCCAGAATCGCGGCCTTTGATTGGCTCATTAGGGGGAGGTGACTAGGGTCGATGCTTTGTTAGATACTTGAATGCAATGTCCAGGCTAAATACACAAAACAATTACATTACCAGGCTTGGATATCAGGGGGGCGAGGGCAGTTGGAGCACTGGGAGCCACATCCAGCGCATCCGGCTAATGCAATTATGCCCAGCGCCTGGACGCCAGGACTCCAGGATCTCCGACCCCGCAGCAAGTAAATTGCCAAGGGGACGGGGTAGATAGTAGGGCACTAAGTGGAGCACTGCTGCAGTTTTCCACATCCCGCGGGGGGTAAGGGGTGGCCCTCCTCCCATTGCCATTCTCATTCATTCCGTTTTGGTTTTTCATTTGTGCTGGGCGCAGGGCGTAAATTATTCAATGAGCATTGTTTCAGCAAAAGTTGCAAAATGAATTTCTACTCAAGAATTTCATTACGAGTTCGAAAACAAGCAAATGCTGCAGGGAGCAGCAAGGAGCGCAAGGATATGGCCGGAGAGCGAGAGTGAAAAGGAACAATGGCCAGGGTCCTTTTTGCTGCCTTTATGTTCCCATTTTCCTGCTGCTGCTGCCTGTCTACAGCTGTCCACATGTTTACATCTCATTTCATTAAATTCATTCAACTTATTGTTCTCATTAGAAAAGGGAGAACTCGGCAAGGATATGTGTGTGTACACACATACATGCATACATGGAATGCCGGTAAATGTTTGACAAATTAATGTTGATAAAATTGTGTGGCATAACGACAGGCGCCTGTTCCTGCGCTGCACGAATGTGTGTGTGTGTGTTAGGCAAACAAATATGTGATGTGACAGACAGACAGGTGCGTCTCCTTTTTTTTTACCTTGGCGTTCGCGCTCTCCTCCTTCCAAGTCCTCTCACTGTATAGAGTGTCCTTTGTGTGTGTGTGTGCGTGGTGCGGCTTTTCCTTTTTTTGGGTGCGGTTTTTTCCCGAATTTCTTTTTTTTTTTTTGCCTGGGCATTTGTTTGCCCGTTAATGGGGTCTCGTGGCCATATAGATTGATATATGCATAAATAATGAGTGATAAATACGGGCGCTGTTTAAATATGATTAAAATGATATGTACAGGCCCCCCACATCGGGCTCTTCAACTTGATGGATTACCTTTGATAATGGGCGAAAAACATAATTCCAACATTATTGCATTAGGCTCAAAGCATAAACGGTGTGGCTGACATTTTATATACATATATTATAAATATAAATACAGAAAGCTTTAAGGGA